ACAATAGCACTAGGTACTATTAGGTAAATTCATGGTTCCCACATGTGCCACAAAATGGCCCTAGCTACAGCAATTTTCTTTAGGGCTTGGGAATGAATGCAAGCAGGAATATACTAAGACTATATCTATACAGTTATACATTCAGTAGTGGGGGCCCTAACAATGGAGGTTTTAGTGGTCCAGTGGAACCTATGCATGCTTGTGTTTGGGTAGGCGTGGTGAAGTTGGCCTCAGACCCCAAGCCAAAGAACAATGCCTGTTTCTTCTTTGTATTAGATTCCTGGTGCTTCCATAACAAATTACCACAAACTAGGTAGCTTAACCAATTAAAATTTACTGTCTCAGAACTCTTGAGGCTAGACGTAAACATAAGGTATCAGCAGGGTTGGTGATACCGACCCTTTTGAGGGACAGTCAGTAAGAATCTGTTAAATGCCTCTATTCTAGCTTCTGGTAGTTGATTAGCAATATTTGGTGTTCCTTGGCTTGGGGATGCTGCACTCTGGTCTCTGCTTTCATCCTCACACATCTTTTTCTCCGTGTGCTTGTCTCTTATCTATGTATCCTGTTTTTATAAGGATGTTATTCATATTGGACTAAAGCCCGCTATAATGATCTCATTTGTACTTGATTAGCTTTGTAAAGACCCTATTTCCAAATAAAATCATGTTCTGAGGCACTATGTGGGAAAGATAGGGGTCACTATTCAAATATTCATCGTCTTCCCATATGCAAAATGCATTCACTCCATCACAACATCTCCAAAAATTCAACGTAATTCCAAAATCTTCTCTAAGAATCATCAACTCAAAATTCCAAATTTCATCATTTAGATCATTCAGATAGTTATGGGAAAGACTTGGGGTATGATTCATCCTGTGCAAAATTCCTATTCATTTATGAACCTATAAAACCAGATATCACATTGTCTGCTTCCAAAATGCAATGGGCAGGCATACGACAGACATTGCCATTGCTAAAGGGAAAAATTGGAAGGAAAAAAAGGGGTCACAATTTACAAACAAATTCAGAATCTGGCAGGGTAAATTTCATTAGATTTTAAGACTTGAAAGTAGTCCTCTTGGCTCAGTGCCCTGTCCTCTGGGCCTAGTGGGGTATGGCCCTGCCTCCTTCAATCTGGGTGGTGGCCCACCTCTTCAAACAGAAGAGGCAACACCCCAGCTCTTTGGCCTGTGTCTTCTGGGCTCTTGGTGACAGTGGAAGCCCCACTGGCATTTGAACCATCCTTAGGGTCATTGTTTCTTTTTCTTGATGGATAACACAATTGCAGCAGAATAGTTCTATTGACCCATTTCCTGTCTATAGAATCTTAGCAATCTGATTTAATTTTAATCTAAAATAAAATCTATTTTATCCTTTCTCTATCCCCTTTAGTTCAGGTTGTCAGGATTTTTGCTGAGATGGTTGATTAGATCCACAATTCACATATCTATTTAGCAAATAGTTGTGCAGTCATATCCTTGGTGTTCTTTCTACATGTGCTTTTTTTTTTTTTTTTTTTTTTTGAGACAAGGTCTAGCTCTGTCACCTGGGCTAGAGTGCAGTGGTACAATCTCGGCTCACTACAACCTCTGCCTCCTGGGCTCAAGCGATTCTCCTGCCTCAGCCTCCCGAGTAGCTGGGAATACAGGCACCTGCCACCACACCCAGCTAATGTTTGTATTTTTAGTAAAGACGGGGTTTCACTGTGTTGGCCAGGCTGGTCTCAAACTCCTGACCTTGTGATCCACCTGCCTCAGCCTCCCAAAGTGCTGGGATTACAGGCATGAGCCACCATACCTTGCCTACAATGTGCTTTCTTATATTTTCAATACTAATAGGCTGAAGATTTTGTGAATTTTCATATTCTGTTTTCTTTTTGCTTAACAATTCCTTCTTTGATTTATCCCTTTCCCTTTTGCCTCTTACTATAACAGAAAAGATAAACCAAGATGTGCCTTAAACACTTTACTTAGAATCTTCTCAGGTAAATATCCAAGTTCATTGCTTACAAATTTTACTTTCCACCCAACAGACATAATTCAGACAAGCTCTGTGCCATTTTATAACAAAGATCACCTCTCCTCCAGTTTCCAATAATATGTTAATTTCCATCTGAGACCTCACTAGAAGCACCTTTAACATTCATATTTCTATTGACATTCTGTTCATGACAATATATGTGTATATCTAAGATGAGAGAAGCTTTCTCTGTAGTTCTTCCCTTTTCTTTCTGAGCCTTCACCAGAAACACCTTCAATATCCATATTTCTACCAACAATAACTTCAAGGTAATCTAAGTTTTTTCTATCATACACTTCAAAACTCTTACAGCCTCTACCCGTTACCCAATTCCAAAGTCATTTCCACAATTTAAAGTATTTGTTACAGCAGCGATCCACTTCCCAGTCGTAGGGCTGCTCTTAGAAAGTATCCACAAATTGGGTGGCTTTAACAATAAAAAATTATAGTCAGTGGGATAGAAGTCTGGGATCAAGGTGTTGACAGGGTTGGTTCCTTCTGAGAACCAGAGGAAAAATCAATTCCATGCCTCCACCTGAGCTCCTTGTGGGTTGCTGTTTTTGACATTCCCTGACTTCTGTATGCATCAGTTCAATCTCTGCCTTCAGCTTCACATGGCATTTTCCCAGTGTATATGGGTGCTCCAATTTTCTGTTTTTACAATGACAACATTTATATGGAATTAGGGCCCATTTTAATGACCTCATTTTCATTTATCTCTGTAAAGTTCCTATTTCCAAATAAGATCACATTCTGAGATACTGTGAGGGTTAGGACTTCAACTTATCTTTTTTAGAGGGCACAATTCAACCTGTAACCCTCCCATGATAGTGTTAGGGATTATGGAGATCACAGTTAGTTGTGCATCAAATCCAAGAGGTGCAAGAAATGCAGCTCTCCTCTCTATCCCTATTGAACTTTTACCTTGTTATACGACCATTGTTCTTCATAGGGACATATGGACCTTGGCCTGATCCTTAGTCGTCTTCTTTAGTTTTGAAAGCTGAGATATCTGGTTAATAGTTGAATGGGAGTCTCCAGTTCACCTCCAGATTCACTGGGAGGAGCGGAAGGAATAGCTCTTTTATTAATCAGGATCCATTACCTTGTAGACCCTAGTAGAGCACCCTGTAGGGCCCCATAGCTCACTACCTTGCCATGAGTTCCTTGGTGGGAGAGTCCGTCAGTCTTCCCTTGGAGAACCCACGCTTAAGTAACCAGAACCAGAGATCTTGTTGTGAAAGTGCTTGTGCAGATGGTCCTGGAGAGAGTGCATGATTACCAGTTTTACATCACTCTTTCTGCCAGCAAGTTGTTGCTATCTGTGCAGTAGCTACTTTTTCTATTTTGATGATTTATCATCAGTGAATATCTGAATTGTGTCACAGAGTGATCAGCATGGCCTTATGAGGAGGTTTAATTGTGTTAAATAACCAGTAGGAGTAAAATGAATGAACCTAAAAACTGAGTCTCATTAACAGTCTCATCTACCATACCATGTGTATGTGAATCCTGACTCTCAAAGCACCAACCAATTTATGCATTTGCTCTATCCTATAATACTTTGAAACTTTTTGCAAAATTGCTTAGCAGATACCACTACAAAAACAAACCTACTGAAAAGATTTCATGATTTGTTTGCAGTTTGTCCCCCAACACTCTTGCCCAAGACTAAGGCTATGTTTCAAATACTGTATTTATTAGTTACATGGATTAGTACTTTTTTTTCCATATAGTAGGTTCGTTTAATTAAGTTTCCTTTCAGTTTTAGTTCCCACTTCTTATCCTCATTGAATTAATTTTATTTTAAAAATATTGCATTCATGCATTTTGCATTGCTGTGAAGGAATACCGGAGCCTGGGTAATTTATAAAAAAAGAGGTTTATTTGGCTCATGGTTTTTCAGGCTGTACAAGCCTGGCACCAACATCATCTGTTCAGCTTCTGAGGCCTCAGGAAGCTTTTAGTTATGGCAGAAGGGAAGGGGAGCCAGCATGTCACATGGCAAGAGAAGAAGCAAGAGAGATACGGGGGACATCCGAAAATTTTTTCCAACAAACAGATCTTACATGAACTCATTACCATAGAGAGGGCACCGAACCATTTGTGAAGGATCTGCCCCCATGACCCAAACACCTCCCACCAGGCAACACCTCCAACCTTAGGGATCACATTTCAACAAGAGATTTGGAGGGACACACATCCAAACCATATCCAATATGTAGAACATTAAGCTACTTCCAAAAGTAAATATTATGCAAAAGATATTTTTAGAAGAACTATAATTTCTGCCACAGTCCTTCTCTTTTATTCCCTTCCTTGTTCCTACCCTTTTGTCTTATAGATAACCAACTACAGTGTTTTCTTGCTTATTTTATCTATGTCTCATTTTGAAAAGGTTAATTTTCTCTATTTCTATTTTTTTCTGATTAGTTATTTCTGACCCAAAACTTACCATACTAGATATCCTGTTTTTAAGATTTTTTTTCACTTAACATTATCTTTTAAGAAATTCCTCCATGTTAATTTATAGAAACCTTTATTATTTTTATGTAATATGTATAGTATTATGTATAATGATATGCATTTATATCATAATTTATAGCATATATCTTTGTTTATTGAGCCAATCTCCTGTACTTGAATATTTAGATGTGTTGAATATTTTGCAATTACAAATAATATGGTAATGAATAATGTGCATTTGAATTTTTATTGTGTGGTCTATTATTATGTATTAACCTATGTAAATAACCCATGAATTCTGAAGACCAATAGGAAATATATTTGATGCCTTAAAATATTTATGGTATAATGAGACAGCTTTTGTAACACCCATTAAAACCATTTTTATGTCAAATTTCTATTATGGTAATTTACTTATAATTTTATAAAAATGAGACAAAAAGAGAATTCACAGTAGATTTTTTTTTTCATTTGTGGACTAAATACATCTCTTTATGCAACTCATTTTGTAGCTCCAGATAAAAATCCTATGTTGGTTCATCAGGAGTCAGTGTCAAAACTCCAAATGCAAGAAAAGAAGAAAATAACTCCTGGAAAGGAAAGGAGTAATAGTAAGTGTAGTCATTATAGATAACTTTAAATTATTTTTAAATGAAACTTATCAGAATATATTTTTCTTTGATTCTTGAATGTGTATTTTAACATATATTTTATGGAAATAGTAGACTTTGCCCTGAATTATGAACACCTTAAGATAAGTACAGAACAAAAATGAAAGTGTTAACTTCACATTGGAATTTCTGGTCATAAGATTATTTCACAGCCATTAAGCATGCACTCAAAAGGCCCAATAATTGGCCTACAGTATTTCAAAGAGTATACCTTTCAGCTGACTCTGGGAGATTACAGTTTCCAGGAGATTATACCCAATGATCACTTATCATGTGTAGTGATGTTCTTCCCCAGGGTTCAGTCAACAAATTGAGAGGTTGTTGAGATCTGTAACTCAAACAGCAAGTGGGAATTACAGGAGCCAAGAAGAAGGATAGTCCTGAAAGCTTGTTGGTTAGCCATAGGGAATTTTGTTGGTTGAGTGCCACACAAAGGTAAGGTCTCTTGGTGACCTCATAGATGGGTGCCATCAAGTTTCTTGTGTGGTAGGGAATGTTAAAGTGTCCATAGCCAACAATGACTGGGCTTCCTTTTCATTTTAAGGGATTGAGAGGACCAAAAGATAGGCATCATCTCCTCTGGAATGTGATGTGCCCCTTCCCAAATTATAACACAGGAATTTCAATTGAGTGCTAGGTCTTTGTACCTTGTATGTACTAATGGCCAAGCTAGTTTTTATTGGTTCATGCCTGTGTTTGGATCCACCAGGAAAATATCTTCAATATAGTAGAATGCTAGTGTTCCCTCCAAGAGCAGGAATTTTTCCAGGATATGCCGTATCCATGAATGACAGGTAGCTGGGGAATTTAGGTAGTCTTGTTGAAGGACATTAGTGGTATATTGCAATCTATTCCACATAAGACTAAACTGATCCTTATCATTGGTGTGAAGAGGGATGCCGAAAAGGGGATTTTGTGTATCGATTTTTGTATACTAAGTTCTTTTCTTTTGGGCAGTAGCCTCTATGACGGTCACAAAGACAGGCACTGCCAGCACCCAGGGCTGCATTATGGCATTGAGCAGCCAGTGAGGCTGTATGCATCTGAGGTATGTGCACAGGCCAGATGGAGCTGTTTAATGAAGGATTCGTCTCACAGAAAACTTTGCCATGCTTAAGTACAACAATGAAGGCATTTATTTCCTTTTTACCCTAAGTAATCAGTATTGTTTTTGAGAAACAACAGCACAAGGTAGTCAGATAGGTTCGTGGCCTTTCACATGCCCCACTAAAATGGCCCTAATTGAGCAATTTTCTTCAGTGCTTGTGGGCAAAGGTGAGCAGGTGTTCCCTTAATGATACATTTAAACATAATACATTGAATAATGTGCACTATAACAGTAGGGTTTGTAATTGGCCAAAGAGGCCCACCATAGTTGGGTCTACGTAAGGTTCCCATTGGTGGTGACTTCAGACTTCAAAATAGAGAGAATTATCAGTTTCCCCTTCATTCTGATGCTGGGGTATATGTTCACAGTCACTTATGTACCAGTGTCCAAAAGGCCCAAGAAATATAATTATCCCCACCTTCCCATTTATCTCTGACCCTGGTCCCCACTGGGGATTTGAGGACTTAGCTTAACCTCTGGTCTTATTCATTGTTGAAGGGTGAGAGTTCTCAGTAAAAATTAAGAGGGGCTCATCAATTCATCTCCAAATTCACCAGGGAGGGGTGGAGGGAGTAACATTTTATTAATCATAGGATCCTCAATGTGCTGACCCCAGTAGGGCCCATCAACTTCATTGCAGCCAGACCTAGAGACTGTCTCTAGAGGCATCATCCAGGAGAAGGTGCTTGATTGCCATTTTATTCGGTTGTGGAAAAGTAATTGCAGTTTTTGCCATTAGATTGCTTTTGCACCAACCTAATACATCACTTTCCTGCTGGTCAGTTTTTTCTACCTCAGGAGCAGCTGCTTTTCCCGTGCCTGAAAAGTTTTCAGTTAAGTTCTGGATTTTGTCACAGAACATATGACCTGACCTTATGAGTTTGATTGAATTGGAAAATAGGCAAGAGTGGCACGAAAGAACCTAGAAATCTGAGTCTGGTCAACTATCTCCTCGACTATTCTTACTCTTCATTGTAGAACTAAGGGACTACCAGTGTTGTGATTCACAGGGCTACAATAACCTCTGCAAGGATGGTCCAAACATAATTTTAGTGGTAGGTTCATCATGGGTAAGCCAAAGCTATCAAAGGTCAAGCAATTAGCAAGCTGAGGAATGAGGCGGTCTCAAGTTGGCAACTCATACATCCCCTTTCTTTCTCCTCCTTGAGTAAAGCTTCTCTGTCATTACATTCCGAAGGAGGGTTCTGTAGTGACTCGCCCCACAAGGTACCAATTTTTCTAACAAAGTTTAAGAGTACATAAGGCTCTAAGTTGCCTTCAGTAGGTAGGTAAAGTGACCTCAGAAGGTTCTACGTTTCTTTTTGTTTTTTGGGTTTGTTTTGAGAGGGAATCTCACTTTGTCTCCCAGGCTGGAGTACGGTAGCACTATCTCAGCTCACTGCAACCTCCACCTCCCTAGTTCAAGCAATTCTCTTGCCTCAGCCTCTTGTGTAGCTAGGATTACAGGTGCTCCCCACCATGCCTGGCTAATTTTTGTATTTTTAGTATAAATGGGGTTTCACCACGTTGGTCAGGCTGGTCTCAAGCTCCTGACCTCGTGATCCGCCTGCCTCAGCCTTCCAAAGTGCTGGGATTATAGGCGTGAGCCACTGTGCCTGGCCTAGTTCTGCATTAAAAAAAAAAATCCCTTATAATTAAACCATGAGTCTCAATACTTTGCTGGGACATAGGTGGTCTATTATTGCCTGGTAGCTGTTTAGAACTAACAGCACTCATTGGGTACAAATTACCTCATAGATTCTCTGGAAACTTTCAGTCCCATCTCCCCATCATTATATACTGTAATTAATATTATACCATTGTTTGTGGTATATATATCTGTTCATTTGACCAATCTCCTATGTGTGAAAATCTCAATGGTTTTGAATATTTTTCAATTACAAGTAATGCTATAATGAATGATCTTGTACATATGCACTTTCATTGTTTGGTCTATAATTATATATTAAGCTAAAGTATAAATTATCATGCATTATGTAAGTATTTTGAGTATGTATTACAGTATAAACTCATGAATTCTGGAGACCAATATAAACTTTATTTGGTGCTTCAGAATATTTATGAAATAATGGATTAGCTTCCACAACAGCCATTAAAATTATTCTATTTTTGTGTCAGATCTAGCATTATTGTAATTTACTTACAACTTTATAAAAATAAGATAAAATGTACGTTATATATTCATAGATTTATTTTTCCATATGGTGGACTAAATGCATCTCTTGATCTAGCCCACTTTGTAGTGCCAAATGAAAATGTGACTTTTGTTCATCAAGATTCAGAGTCAAAACTCCAAATACAAGATAAGAAACAAATACATTTTGTAGTAGAACGGCGCAAAAGTAAGTATAATAATTATAGATAACTTTAAATTATTTTATATTGAACTCATCAGATCTTTTCCTTCGAATCACCAATGTGTACATCAGACTATATTTGATCAACTTTTAACTTTGCTCTAAAGTGTGAATACCCTATGATAACTAGAGAACAAAAGTATTGTATTGATACCTTTTGGTTGGTATTTGGATGGTCATTAATTACTAAGTAGCATCACTGCCTCCACACCTGCTCATGAAAGCTATTCACATGATTTTCTCATTTTACTTTCATGGGTGGAAAGTCTGATGATTACTTGGCATATCCAGAAGTTCTATTGCACATGTATTTTTTCTATTTAGCATTTCCTTTTGAAACCCGAAAAAAGGATATATCGCTTGAACATCTATTGCCTGAGGAGAAAGTTTTATTATCAAGAAGCCAATCTCAAACCAAGAAACTTCAAGCTAAAGTAATTTCAATAAAAAGTAAGTAATTATGTATAAACCTTATAAATTATTTTTATTAAATTCAGGAGAAATTTGTTTTTGGTTTATAAATATGCCTTCAACTATGTGCTGCTTTTGCTAATTAGTTCTATCACACTACCAGATCTTTCTTGATGACTTATTTGTTTATTTTACAATTACTGAGTTACATGTGTCAAATCTCCCACTTCGTGGATTTCTCTATTTCTTCTTGTATTAGTGTCAGCTTTGGCTTTACATCTTGTAATGCTCTATTTTTATTTTTGTGCTTGTAAACTTTAAATTTGTATCCTTCAAAGACAGAACAGCTTTTTTGTTATGAAAGGAGTCATTTCATCATTTTTATAATTTTTATTTTCCTTAATAAGTACTTTATCTGTTATTAAGGCTTCACAGACTTTCTTCTGGTTGGTATTTGCCTGATACATTTTTTTCCATCCTATTAGTTTAACTTCTTTGTTTCTTTATGATTTTGCTATGTCTATTGTAAGAAACTTATAATTGTGTATACTCTTTTTTAAATCAGCTTTTATTTTAAGTTCCGGGGTGCATGTGCAGGATGTGCAGGTTTGTTACATAGGTAAATGTGTGCCATGGTAGTTTGCTGCACAGATCAACACATTATCCAGTTATTAAGCCCAGCACCCATTAGCTGGTCTTCCTGATGTCCCCTCCTCCTTTCCCCAACTCCCGGCCTCAGTGTGTGGTGTACTTCCACTTGTCCATATGTTCTCATTGTTCAGCTGCCACTTATAAGTGAGAACATGTGGTGTTTAGTTTTCTGTTCCTGCATTAGTTTGCTGAGGATAACAGCTTCCAGCTTCATTCATGTCCTGCAAAGGACATGATCTTGTTTCTTTTTATGGCTGTATAGTATTCCATGTTGTATACGCCAATTTTTAGTCTGATTTCTAAAGTTATCTCTCATAACCATATATGGTTTATTATTGATTTTTTTAGGTGCAATTATACCATTTTTCTTGGATTCTCCTGTTTTTCCTACTTGGTATTTTTTTTTCACTCTCTTTCTACTCTATTTTTTTCTCATTATTCACTTTTCCTTAGCAATATTTGGTACCAAAAATTTTAAGCTTTACTTAGCGTGTGAATACAATAAGAAAATAAGGACAAATTTCAAATATACAAGTATTTATAATGTTTATAGTAGTAAATAAAATAATGTTTATAAATTAAATATATTTAATACCCATATATATAAAAATTAACAAGATGGCTTTTATATGCACAAGTGGAAAATGTAGTTATATGTTTATATTTTAACTAGACACCGATATGCTTATATCATTAAAAAGTAAGACAAAATGTTGTTGAGTAATTAACATATATTGTGAACCTAAAGGTTCTACCATAAATCAAGTTCTCTAGTGATTTTCAGAGCCTTTCTTCTTGTAGCCCAGAAAAAGATAAGTTATCAGATGAAACTCTTTTGCCTGCAACTGGATTTGCTAGAAAGAAGAGATTCTATAGTAAATATGGAAATAATCAATGTTATTAAATTGTTTGGAATTACATTAAATTTTAATTAAGCAGAATTTTATTCATGGGTATGTACTCTGCTACAATGTTATAGACATCCATTGAACTCATTTTTTGTTGTGTCATTAAAATTTATTTCTTGATTTCCTTGAATCTTGATTAGTTATCAATTATTGAGAGATGTATACTAAATTATCTCACTATGTGGATTTAACTATTTCTTCTTATAGTTCTGTTCATTTTCCTTATACTGTCTACATTATTAGTATATACAAATAAAAACTCAGGTTTTCTTTATGAACTCAACCTTTTATTTTGATGAAAGAGATCATCTTAGCCTTTAGTAAGGTCTTTTGACTAAAAGTCTATTTTGTCTAACATTGACATAACAACTACAGAGTGATTTTGGTTATTAGTGTTTGCATTTTTTTCAGTCATATCTCTAATAAATAACTTACAGTTAAATTGTTTATCATTTCAATGTGTCTGTCTTTGCCTATTCCTAGAATATGTAGTCCATTTACAATTATTGTGCTTACTGATATATTCTGATTTAAGTATTTTGGGCAGGGGTGATTTTTAATTTTTTTTTTAACTGATTCAGATTACTTTCTATTTTCTTTCTTTCCTTATTTTGAAATTACCACTTTTAATCAGTTCAATTATTCAGTGTGTCACGTATGTTATAAAAACTTTTTAAAATGTGAATACACTTAGTAAAATAAAGTCTAATTTCAACTTTCTAAGTGTATGTATGAAGTAACAAGAGTGCCTCCACATACTTTCAGAAAAAGTACTCTGATGATTTTTGTATTTACCTTCATCGTTCATTTTGAAAATGCAATAGAGGTTTTATTGTGTGACATTTATTTAAATTGTATTGACTAGTGTAAAGTCTTTTAAAACTTATAGGAAACTTTGAATGGTCCTTTATATATATTAATAATCCAGAGGCTTCACAGTAAAGCTTTTTCATTTTTTTTAAAAGCCTTTCTTTTTTCAACTGAGAAAATGGATGAAATAGCAGATGAAAATCTTTCACCTTAAATAAAGTTTTAATTTTAAAAAGCTCATGTCAAATTACAAAACTTAGTAGTTGCAGAAAAGTGAGACTTCAAAGTAAATATAATAATTAAGAATATTGTATAATTATTTTAATTAAATTTCTCTCTTTATATGTTCAATTATAAATATGTGTCATGTATACATATATATGTGTGTATAGAAAACATATATGTGTGTATGTACATTCTCTATTGTCATTAATTGTATTTTTCACGTGTTCTTAACTTCATTGAAGTTCTGTTTATCATTTATGAGAAAGGTATTTCAAATTCTGCTACTGCGATTATTTATTTCTCTGTCTCTGTAGTTCTGCCAATTTTTGTTCTATGTTTTAAAAAATATTTTATTATATACATATAGGTTTTAAATTGTTAAATTTTCTTAAGAGCACTGAAACTCTTGTCTTCATTATGGACATTTTTAAAAATAGACTTTATTTTTAGAGCAGTCTCACGTTCACAGAAAATTAGAGAGGAAGACAGAGATTTCTCATGTAGCCTCACCCACAATATGATGGATACTTTCCAGTAACTTTTGTTGCCATTAATCTGTCAGATATTAACATAGCATCTTTTTAATGTAAGTATTTGCAGAACACAATTTTTCATCATTATACTTTCACCCTTTTGTATTATTATGGCTTAGCTGTATTATATGTGTTAAATGTATTATAGTTATTTTTTAAATCCAATGTGGCAATCTTTCAATTGCAAATATAACATTTAACACATTTACATTTAATGTAAATACTGATATTTTGTGAGTTAATATACCATCACTTATGTTTTCTGTATTTCTTGCCTGATGTATTTTTGGCTCTCTTTTTAAAGTTTATTGTTAATTTGCTTTTATCATTTTTATTTCCCACATCTGTTATAAAAATTTTACTTAATTATAAAATATAAATACCTTATAAAATAATTTTCTTGAAAAGTTCTATATTTTTACACTTCACATACTCAGTCTATAATTCACTGTCTCAACAATGTGGTATTTGAGTATATTATTTCAAAATATGAGAGGACATATCGCTGGATAATTGATATGTATTTTGAATTACAGAGGCTTTTTGATAAATTCGTTTGTCTATTTAATTGATTAAAAGCATCTTTTTTGTAGCTCAGAAAGTGGAAGATGTGTTAGATGAAAATTTTTTACCTGAGGATAAAGTTGCATTTTCAAAAAGAAAATCTCAAGCTAAGATATTTGGAGCTAACAAAATGGAAACACTAAGTAGTAAGTATGATAATTTTCAATATCATTGATTTATTTTTAATTAGAGTAAGCTGAAGAATTTTGTTCATAGATTTGTGACTGTTTAGTCAACATGTCTTTAGTATACATTTATTAAATGTGTTTATTGTTCTGTTCAGTTATTTTTTCATTGAGGTTTTTCTGTTTATTCTATATTACTAAGAGACGTATGTTAATTTCTCCCACTGTGATTATGGGTTTCTCTATGTCTTATGGTAGTTCTATCAAATCAGTTTTTATATTTGGAAACTTATTTATTTATTGTGTATAAATTTATACTTTTAACCTGGTAAATGGAGACTGTCTCTTAATCTCTGAAAATGCATTTTGTTTTATGCAAATCAAAACCATAGTGAGATACCATTTCACACCAGTCAGAATGGCTATTACTTAAAAGTCAAAAAGCAACAGATGCTGGTGAGGTTGCGGAGAAAAGCTGACACTTATACACTGTTGGTGGGAGTGTAAATTAGTTCAACCATTGTGGAAAACAGTATGGCAATTCTTCAGAGAGCTAAAAGCAGAACTACCATTCAACACAGCAATCCCATTACTGGGTAGATACCCAGAGAAATATAAATCATTCTATCATAAAGATACATGCACGTGAATGTTCATTGCCTCACTGTTCACAATAGCAAAGACATGGAATCAGCCTAAATGCCTATCAATGACAAATTAGATAAAGAAAATGTGGTACATATACACCATGGAATACTATGCAGCCATAACAAGGGACAAGATTATGTCTTTTGCAGGAACATGGATGGAACTGGATGCCATTATACTTAGAGAGCTAATGCAGGAATGGAAAACCAAATACTGCATGTTCTCATTTGTAAGTGGGATGAGAGCTCATGAACACAAAGGGGACAAAAGACACTGGGGTTTACTTGAGAGTGGAGGGTGGGAGAAGGGAGATGAGCAGAAAAGGTAACTATTGGGTACTAGGCTTAATATCTGGGTGGTGAAAAAATCTATATAACAAACCTTCGTGATGCGAGTTTACCTATGTAACAAACCTTTACGTGTACCCCTGAACTGAAAATGAAAGTTAAATATAAATAAATAAATAAAGTGCTTTAGTTTTAAAGATTATCTGATACTAGTAAAGCTACATATGCTTTCTTGTGAAGTACTTACACAGTCTTTTGTAAAGAGTTTAGACAGAGGCTCTTGGTGCC